AATTTGTTGAGGGGATTGGTATTCGTGGTATAGTTCTAAAATGGTTTACTTCCTACCTAGGGAATACAAGACAAAAAGTAAAGATAACATCTAATGTACTTGTAAACGAAACACATTGGATATCCATTATGGTATCCCTCAGGGTAGTATATTGAGTCCTCTACTTTTTATAGTATTTATTAATTGTATAGCTTTGTTAACTAATTCACTGACTGAGGTTAACATCATCAGTTATGCGGATGATAGCAACATTCTAGTCATAGGAAGGTCTGATCAAAATTTGCAAAATAAAACTAAACAGATACTATCCACCATCAACAGTTATTTCTTATCCAACAAATTAGTTTTGAATGAAGAGAAATCAAAGTATATGATTTTAATGTCGAATAATTTATTAAACCATCAAGCTACTATAGAAGCAGCAATAGATAAAAGAGACTGCACGAAGTTGCTGGGGGTACTTCTAGACAGTAATTGTAAATGGTCAAACCACATTTCTAATTTGAAATCCAGGTTAAGTAGCGCATGTTATGCATTGAGAATTCTCTCACGTCTGTTTCATTCATCAATATTAAAAACAGCATACTTTGCCCATTTTTACTCAATAGCCAAATATGACATTAAAGTCTGGGGTTGTACCTCTGAATTAGAGCAGATATTCATACTTCAGAAAAGAGCTATTAGGATAATGTATAAAATGAAATTTAAGAGATTCTTGTAGAGGCATCTTTAGACAAAACAATATTCTTACAATTCCTGGTCTGTATATATTTTCGTGTATAATGTATTTGTAATTATTCAACAAGATTCAGAGACAATCACTTTATGCTTCCACAACATCGTTCTGTTTTGTTGGAAGGTAGTACACATTATGCAGCCATAAGTTTCTTTAACAAATTACCAATAGACATACGAATGAATTTACATCAGCCAAACTTTCGGAGGTGTGTACATCAATACATTTGTGAGCTAGAGCCATATTCTAAAAATAACTTTTAAGTATGTTTTATCGTGTTTAATAATTTATATACTTTTAAGATGTATGTCTGTAACTTTGACTTGTCTCATACATGTACTTTGTATAATGTCACATGTGATCAATAAATTTGACTTGTCTTGATTTGACATTGATATTAGCGAGACAAAAAGAAAATGCGAAAGGCTCTGACATTATGGTCAGGGCATTTGTTAGATTACTATTTGAAATAAATACCAGAATCAGCAGAGTCCTCGTTGACATTAGAAAACTGAACAAGAGGTATAACCTAAAAATAATTTAGGACTACCCTCCAATATGTTCGCACAGCCGAGACGAGGTGGAATATATTGCAAGTGAAATGACTAATTAAAAAGCTTACCATGCAATAATTACAATGGATGTCGAACAATCGAACAATAAATTACGCATATTAATGAGTCTTTTAGAAAGATAGTACATAGTCTATACAGCCCTTAAAATCCATCCTTGGATATAGGCCTCCTCCTCCTTCTTCCATGCCTCTCTATCTTGGGCAATTTGCATCCATTTTGACCCGGCGTGTTTCTTCAGGTCATCTGACCATCGCATTTGTGGCCTTCCCCTTTTACGTTTGTGATTCCATGGTCTCCAATGTATAATTGTTTTAGATATATACAACAAGGCAACAACAACTATTAAGCTAATGAAACAAACGGAGCCCATTAAAATAAACCGAGGAGTAAGACAAGGAGATACCATATCGCCCAAGTTATTTAACCAAGCGCTAGAAGATGTTTTTAAACGACTACACTGGGATGACTTGGGAATTAATATAAACGGGCAAAATCTGAATCATTTACGATATGCTGATGATATTGTATTAATAACAGAAAAAAGTGAAGAATTACAAAGAATGATGGAAGAACTAGATAGAGAATCGACAAAAATTGGACTCAAAATGAATTATAGTAAAACAAAAACCATGACTAATCAACCAGAAGAACTTATGATTACAGTGGCACAAACAAAAATAGAACAAGTAAAAGAGTATATATATCTAGGCCAAATCACTAAATTAAATAAAGAAAATCAGACCGAAGAAATAAAGAGAAGAATAAGATTGGCCTGGGCATCATTCGGAAAACTGTCTTATATTCTAAAGAATTCAAAATACCCCCAATACTTAAAAACCAGAGTCTTCAATCAATGTATACTCCCTGTCCTCACATATGGCTCTCAGACATGGACGTTTACAAAGGAAAATATGGAAAAAATAGCAAAGACAGAAAGATCCATGGAAAGACAAATGCTGAACATTAAACTATCAGACAAAAAAAGAAACGAATGGATCCGTAATAAAACAAAAGTGAAAGATGTCTCAACTCAAGTAGCAAAGCTTAAATGGAAGTTCGCCGGACACACCCTAAGGCAGAAAGATGAAAGATGGACTAAAACAGTACATAGTACTATATTTATATTGGCGCCAAACCTATCTGACACCACCATTCCATATCCGGCTGCACTGATTTTAACGTGGAAGTAGAAAAAGATTCTGAAGGGCATAAAAATGGTAAACAGCTGAGAATAAAATGATGGTGATACGTTTCAACTAATGAACCTAATGAGTCAATAATTAAAGATGTTTCTACATAATCAAATATGTAGAAAGTGTGAACTAGATCTGGGCGAACTACAATTTTGGAACCAGAGAATCTTTGTTTGCGCAGTGTCCTACCGAAAAAGTGCCGAGATCAGCGGAAAGTAGTATATTATGCACTATTAAATATTCTAAAAAGAAAAAGATTAGACTTCCAAGATGAACACCACATATCAATAATAGTACAATTTGAAAACATAGTAACAAAAGCTGTTCCAATTAAACGTGAAATGAGACAGGGTTGTGATTTAACATATCCTTTGAGATTGTATTCCAAAAGACATTTGAAGGCTCTGAAGATGGCTTAAAAGTGAATGGTAAAATAATTAACTTAGGTTAAGTACTATGTCTCATCCTAAAGCAACGTTGTTTTCATTCTGATATATCTGTTTCAATGAATACAAAAATAAAAACATTGGCAGTTTGCGATTCCATTTTACAACAGATTACCAAGAGATCTGGTAGCTATAGCATTATGAAAGCATCTATGAAAGATATTTTAACGAATATCAAAAAGATTGTACAAATTGTTCTCTGATACTGTTGAAGTATATCCACCTCTAAAAAAAACTTTTAACAACATAACTGCAAGTACTTTATTGAGAAGAACTGCGAATCGTTTCTGAGGTCGCCCCTTTTTTTATCATTACTTTCAAAGGAAGACATGATATCTACTTTCCAAGAAACTGTTAAGCTGCTGGAAGTTTTAGTAACTATGCCTATGTCAACATCCGAATCTGAAAGATGCTTCTCCATTGTAACAATTTGCATCGTATCCGTCCCGTCAGAGCTTCGTACGTACGCACTCCCACTCCCCATCGATGTGCGTTAGAGGACATGGAAGTCCTTCGAACGTATAAAAGAGCAGCCGCCGCACGATAAAGAGGAGTTCCGTCGGAGTATTGAACTGATAACAGTTCCATCGGCCCTAGGGTATTGACTGAAGGCCAACCGCTTCTGCTAGAGTGTTGATCTAGTGGCAGTTCCGTACCCGGACTTGGAATACTGATCTTAGACATACCTATTCTCTCCTGTGACCAAGTACTGTTGGTCACCGTCCGTTCCTCGCCGGGCCGAGTGTTAATTGGCCCGTTCCATCTCTATTCGTCGTCGCCAGAATTGACGCTGATGTTTTGACATATGCAGAGAAGTCGAAGCCGCAGCAGTGAAACCATAACCTCAAAATTTGATCAATGAAAACAAACACAAATGTGATAAATGCAGAGTTGAGCAAAAAATTTTCAAAATAAATAAATACAGTTTTTATTTATTGTTTTTTGTAATCAAACTGTTGTGACCTAAACAAAAAATATAAATCTTGTCATTTCCACCACCCGATAATATAAAGTCTCATTTTCTAGAATTACTTAAAGAATAAAATTATATATGCACTCGTGTACCTTCATATGTTTACCTAATTACAAATTGAAATTACAATATAGACACAAAAAAAAACCGTAAGTATTTATGAATATAAAACACAAATTTAACTCCCAAAAAAATCCAAAATTTTCCGCAAACTAGGAGTCAAACTCTGCTTAGTCTCAAAATAACATCCACAGTGTCAGAACAACATTGCGTTGAGTACAGATTCAGTGTACAGATCACAATAATCACATATTTTAGTTATTAGTACAGAGATGCGTTTTGATCTTTCAAATTAACGATAAAAAACAAATAATCTGTACAAAGAACATGCATTGCAGCTATAACACCATGGTAAACAGTGTTTCACAAATTCAAATAGTTGTTAGATATCAACTATTACTACTAATAATATCTTATAGGAAAATCAACAACCCCTAAAATGAGGAGTTTGTTTACTTTCTTGCATTAGGTATTATCATGTGAAAATATTTAGGATTACTATATAAATGCAACAATAGACTAACTTGCATTATTTTCAGTTCCTTTATCAAGCAGTTATGATTATTATGAACAAAGGATAGTACCTTGGAAAACTTATACTAATAAATGCCCTCAATAAAGTATATACTGACCATTATCTGCAAATATTTCAAAAGTTGAGAACAGTGAAGTTCTATTAGATTTGTGTACTGTGTATTGTATCCAGACTACCGAATGCTTGTGTACCAAATTAATTAATAAACATTTTAGTACAAGATATTTGGAATAGACTGTACAAAATTTAATGGATGTCCAATAGTCCTTCAACGAATCAACATTTTTTTTTTTTTGATGAAACACATTATAAAAAGATATAGATACAGCTCCCACCATTAAACAAATATTATACTTAATCCTATTTCTATTAAAATATATAATTGTAAATATGTTAAAGAAATTATAAAATTTGATAGATATCTACAAATCACGATTTTTGTGAAAAACTGTTTTCTACTAAGTACTAAGGTAGTTTATAAACTATTCCCTATTAATTGCCTGAGGAGCTTCTGCCAATCCTTTAACTTTGAGTCTGTCAGCTGTTTTTAAGAAAGCAGGCAACTGTTCTTGACTTACGTTCACCTCTCCTGCATACATAAATTCTAAAATTGCTTGCAAGTGGCTGTAGGCGACATCTTTGAGAATAATTATAGGGTGTTTCGAAGGATTCTCCTAAAATAAGCAAGAATATTACTTTACACATTTATAAAAGAAGCCACAGCTAGAATGCTGCGATTGGTAGGTGTGTGGTGGTTTGGTGATAGACTGAGAAATCAGGACCCTACGTGCTTTGTTTAAAAAATCATTACTTATTTTTTTTAACCGAGTTAAATAAGAGAATAAACAAAAAAAAACAAATTTTCGTCTATATAAGAAAAACTTTCCATTTTGGATAGCAACAAGGGACCAGGTCCAGATGGTCTTCCACTTTCTTTTCTTAAACACTTTAGTTTTTTTACTTTCTAGACCTCGTTTTCACATTTTTAACTTGCCATTAAAGACAGGGATGTTCCTGGTCTACTGGAAAACTAGCTTTATTACCCCAATACTAAAATCGGGAGATAAGGGAACAATTATTTATTTATTTATTAACGGATATACCATTTACATTGGAAAATAATTAGTAAAGTTTAACAAAAACTAATAAGTAACTTAAATACAAACTAATACCACACAAAAAGCAGCCTCTTTATCACATTTTTGAATTGTTCTAAGGACTGGAAAAATAAGTCCAGATCACTTTGGTGCCTATTATATAGTCTCACCATATGAGTAAGAGGCTTAAAGTATTCATAATTAAATTGATGAAATGGTAGATGAAAGAACGACATATGAGTAGTTCCATAAAGAGTGTTACGACCTAATCCATTTAAAAGTTCAGGGCAATTTATCAAATTATTAGCAATTTTGTAAAGGAATATTAGGCAAAAATAATCTTTTCGCTGATTCATAGAAACCATTTTCAAGTGATCAGCTATCATACTGCAATTGTCTGGGACAGAGAAGTCATGAAAAGTACTACGGTAATGATAGTGTTTACCAAATTTATGCTGAACACTGTATTCCCAAAGTTTTTAAGAGCCTTGTCTGTGGACTATTTGTCAGCAACTTTAAAAGGCTGTTTTATTGACCAGCAATTTGGATTTCTCTCTAGCCGCTCCACTGAAGTTAATTTATTGACATTTACTGATTTCCTTATAGAATCTCTTGAAGATGGCTTCCAGGTTCATGTTGTATACACAGACATTACAAAGGCTTTTGATTGGGTAAATCACAAGATTTTAACCAATAAGTTGAGGAGACTAGGTATCCAGGGTGAACTTTTACAATGTTTGTTATCCTACCTAACTGAAAGAATACAAATAGTACATGTTCAGGGTTTTCAATCGTTTGAGATTAAGGTACTTTCAGGAGTACCACAAGGATCACACCTAGGACTTCTTCTATTCAATAACTATGTTAATGGCATTGCCTCCTGTTTCCTCTTTGCTTCTTTTCTGTTTGCTGACGATTTAAAATTATACTTAAAATTGAAAATGATGGTGACTATCAAAAACTACAGTCTGATTTGGATCAATTGAGCCATTGGTGTGACAGCAACGGAATGGAACTTAATGTTAAAAAGTATCATTTAATAATTTTTGGTCGGAATAAAACTCCTACAAATCATATCTATACTATTAATCGTTACACTTTAGACTCTGTATCTCAGATAAAAGACCTAGGTGTTGTGCTCCTTTCCAGCTTATCCTACATCTCACCCTATATCTCACCTGTTGTCTCAAAATCACTTCAACTTTTAGGGGTTTATCAAATGTTGTGTTAAAGACTTAAATATCCCAACCATAAAACATTTGTATTGTTCACTTGTGAGACCCCACCTAGATTACTGTTCATGTGTTTGGTCTCCTCACTATAACCCCCAATATATTCAAGCTAATGAGAGAGTTCAACACAAATCCTTGAAATTTCTTACATTTAAACAAAACCAGAAGATTGAAGAAATTAACTATTCAAATATGGAAAGGTCCCAACATAACTTCTCTCCAAATCCGAAATATTCACAAGGATCTCACTATGTTTTATAGTATACTGCACACTATTGAAAAAAATATCTCCATGTTCCCAGTAGACAAACAAGGCTAAATCAACCCTCTTATGTTAGACCCCATCGCACAAACTACGGACTCAATTCATTCACATCTAGAACACCAAGGATCGCTAATCATTATTCCCAAAGGTTGGATTGTTTTAGTATTCCAAAAGAATTTAAAGCTCAGCTTAAGAACTGTATGTGATAGCTTGATATTTACTGTTTCAACTTTTATTTTTTGTATGATTAAAATTTTTAAATTTAATTTAAGTAGGTTACATTAAGAATCAACTGTAATTTATCAATAATGTTTACATTGTATTTTAATTGGGCGATTGCCCATTGATAAATAAATAAATAAGATATGTAGACAATTATAATTTATATAAAAAATGTATATACTAAAAAATTAATATTACTGTCTCTATGATAACGAGTGGAAATATTGTACACAAAAATCCAGTAAAATTCATATGACTGATAACATAGAGATGTATTTTGTTAAAAGGTAAACTGGTGTTCTTGTTTTTTTCATAGCCTCTCTTTTCGTTCAAAGCATAACAACAGATGCGAAAGCAGAAAATTCTATAAATGCATAAAAGAAAGCACACAGTCATTTAGACCAAAACTAACGATATGCAAAGACAAGGACGGAGAACTACTAACAGAGAAGCAAAAAACTATATTGAGATGGAAACAATATTTCGAAGAATATCTAAATGCAGACAACGAAAATGATCAGAACGAGACAATATATTATACGGCAGAGCTGCACATCGAAAATCCGAGTTATGAAGAAGTAGTTCAGATAATAAATAAACTAAACAATAATAAAGCACCAGGAACGGACGGAATTTCGGCAGAATTATTAAAACATGGAGGATCCGAACTCTGGGAAAGAATAATACCTAATAACATTACCTAATAACATTAATATGGATGAAGGAGCAAATGCCAGAGGAATGGACAGTTGGCCTCATACAGCCAATATATAAAAAAGGAGATAAGAGGGAACGTAAGAATTTTAGGCAAATTACATTGCTAAATGTAATATACAAAATTCTTTCTGGTATAATCTACAATAGATTAATAGAATACTCCGAAAATATAATTGCTGACTATCAAAATGGATTCAGACCAAATAGCCACTACAGATAACATATTCATACTAAGAACGATACAAGAAAAAGCTTATGAATATGACATAGACCTATATAATATGTATATAGACTTTAAACAAGCTTTCGATAGTGTGAAAAGAGACAGAATGCTGGAAGACCTTTGTAATCTAGGTTTACCTAAGAAATACATCAGCCTCATAAAAATGATGTTGCAGGGTTCAAAAACTGCAGTCAGAGTAGATGGAGAACTGACTCCCCTGTTTAACATCAACATGGGAGTAAGACAGGGAGCCCTATCAACCATGCTATTCAACCTAGTTCTTGAGGCAGTCTTCAGAAAAACCAATATAACCGGCCATATAAACACCAAATCAGTACAAATTACTGCATATACAGACGATGTAGCCATCATTAGTAAGAATAAGCCATGACCAATGGAAGTGTTCAAACAAATTGATCCTGAAGCAAGAAAAAGAGGTCTCAAAATAAATGAAGCAAAAACAAAGTATATGACAGTTAAAAGAATAACTGACAATGAAAATAATATCACAATAGACAACTATACTATCGAACAAGTGGATGCCTTTACATATCTCGGCACAGAAATCAATCAGAAGAACTCCGTAAGTAGCGAAATTAATGCACATATTTCCAGCGGGAATCGTACATACTATGCTAATAAAAGATTGATGACATTGAAATTATTAGACAAAAGAACCAAAATGACTATCTACAGAACACTGATTAGACCCCTAGTAACCTATGGATGTGAAACTTGGGTATGACGAAAAAAGATGAAGCCCAACTCAGGACATTTGAGAGAAAAATTCTGAGGAAAGTATATGGCCTGGTACAAGAGGAAGATGGCACATGGACCTGAAAACAATGAACATAAGACAATGGAGAAGAAAGGCACAAGAGAGATCTGAATGGAAGGACATAGTCAGACAGGCAAAGACCCATCCAGGGTTATGATGCCAAAAGAAGAAGAAGAAACTGGTATTCTATAAAAATATAGATAATTAACCCAATAACTAGTACATGGCACATAGTAAGGAACAATTATGAAATAAAAAGTGCTGACAGAAAAATGGCTCACAAATTAACAAAGAAATAGCCAAAAAACCATGGTTTAATGACACAGAAGATATGGGAAAACCAAATACAAAATAATTATGGAGAGAAACACAACAGTGTTTTTCTTAAAGGGGGAGAATCAGCCATATTATGTGAGTAAACAAATAATAAACAAAAAAACTAAAACATTTATTTTCTTTTCATTATTGCTGACATGCTTAAATCTATGAGAAGAGTAGGTTAACTTTTACAGATTTATTATTAAATTTTTTATGTATTAATTTTGCAACCTTTTTATAAAATACAAAAAACCTGATAGCTCTACATTCCCTTTTAAACATAACAAAATTTTTCTTTAGCAAAGTAATTGAACTGTTGTTATCCTATAAATTAAAATATTTCAGAAAATTAAAATATAAGAAGCAACAACGGTATATGTATATTTAACACTATATTAAATGAAACTTACCTCTAATAGACTTTTAAAATAAGGACTACAGGCAGACAATACCATTTTGTGAGCTTTGCAAGTTTGTCCCTCACAGGCTAACGTTACATCTGTAAAACTTTTTTCATCTCTAAGGTGTCGAAAAGACGACACCATATTACTTTGAAAATCGTTCCATTTTAGAAAAAATTGCTGCTGATCCGCCATGTCTAAGATAACTAAAAAATATAAGATTCTTGAATGTTTACAAGCAGATGCTACATTGACACCTAACCCAATTTTAGATACAAAGAAATTAAATTTTATTCGTTCACGTCTTGAATCAAATACGATATCTTTTATAATAGTTTACTTACATATTTACTAGAATTATTCCTAATTTTTCTCTATATTTACAATATCCCTAGAATAGCATGTCAAACAATAAATTACGCAAGCTCAGCGACTTCCTAAACAACAAAATGTCAGATTCGACATATTTGACATTGACAATTGTCGACATACATATTAAGCCGTGAAGTGAGAAAATTGGCAACGTTGGAGGTAGTCCGATAGTGGTCCTATAGCCCTGTGTTTACTTATGAGATTATGCTAATTTTGTTTGTATTTCTTGTATAATTGGTGAATTATTCGATTAAAAAAAAAGGTATGTATTTTTTACGTATATTGTAATAATTGTATGAAGCATTAAAGAATTAGATATATATATTATTCAGACAAATAATACGTACAAACTGTTAAATTCACAAATTCGCTTTAGTAATTACAAACCCCAAGTCGATGTTAATTTATTGGCACAGGGAGTAGTAATATGATATTCTAACATATTTTTTTAATTACAGATGCCGAGACACTGCAGTGTACCAAATTGCAAATCAAATTACGCAACTACTTTAAAGTATGAAAAGGCCCAAAGTACATTCTCTTTTCCCAAAAACGATCACCTTCGTACTCAGTGGGTTAGATCTATTAACCGTGAAGATTTCAGAGTAACTTCTAGTTCGGTAGTATGTAAAAAACATTTTGATGCAACGGATATTATTGAAAGTGAGTCATTCATTGATAAAAATGGTACGGTTCTTCAACGAAATTTGGTTTATCCCAAGTTGAAAGAGAATGCGATACCAAGAATTTTTGAAAACCAACCGTCATATTTATCTAACCCAAAACCACCAACAAGAAAAAATCCTGAAACTAGGCGAGCAGAAATAAGTCTCCGGGAAGAAAATAATATAAAAGAACTCGAAAACAAAGACCTTATCGTGGATTTCAAGGAACTTTTACAAAGTGTTAGTGAGAGGGTTGAGTTAAAAAACTGGCAAATAAAAGTTGTAGAAGAAAGGATTTGTTTTTATTTATTAAATATTGACAATCAGTTTAGTGATGAGTGTATAAAAGTTATTTCAAACATTAACATTACGAAGGAATTACTTGTATCTGTTTATGTGAAGGACATCCAACTGTCACCTCATGATTTAAAATGTATTTTACCATTTGACTGTAAGTTATCGCGTTGGTCACAACTAGAAAATCTGCTGTCCAGGTATTCTTTTTTTTTTGAAAGTCCTATTGACAATAATTTTAAAATAACCAAAATATGTAGTGAAATTGACAGAGTCATAGAAAATACAGATGTAGATAAAATGAAGGGAGTTCTGGCTTTTGTGAAAAATCAGTTACTGTTACTAACAGCAAGTAGGGCAAAATATTCTCTACCAACAATTATTTTTGCTCTTACCATATATAATCAGTCAACATCATGTTATAATATTATTCAGCAGTACTTAAATTTGCCCACTAAAAGATATTTACAAATGATAACATCATCCTTTCATGTATCTCCTGATGATCAATTAGAAAATAATTATTTATCATATCTTGCTTCAAATCTGAATGATCGAGAAAAAATAGTCAATTTACTTGTAGATGAAATATATGTAAATCCTGGAGTTCATTATCACTCAAAACAAATTACTGGTTTTGCTGCCAACAATGATAAACAATTAGCGAAAACTATTCTAACGTTAATGATTTCATCAGCATTTGCACATTTTAAAGAAGTGGTGCGTTTAGTACCTGTATGTAATATTGCTGGTAATGAACTCAAAGACATAGTTCTTGAATCAATTCAGTATATTCAGGACTGTGGATTTAAAGTATTGTGTGTAATTACCGACAACAATCGTTTAAATCAAAACATGTTTGGTCAGTTATCTCCAAATTTTTCCATATCTAATCCTAAGTTTAATAATGAGAATATTTATTTATTATATGATTTTGTACATATTTTTAAAAATATTAGGAATAATTGGCTTAATAAGAAAGACCCAGAAAAAACCTTTATTTTTCCAGATTTTAATAATCATTCAGTTCTTCGAAAGGCATTTTTTAAGGACTTACAAACATTGTACCAAATTGAGATAAACTTTTTAACCAAAAGAGCATATAAACTAAATCATAAATCTATTTATCCAAATAATTTTGAAAGACAAAAAGTGTCTTTGGTAGAAAATATTTTTCATGAAAGTACAATAGCTGCTTTACAGTCATGTAGTATTTATACAGACACAGCCTCATTTTTAGAAATTATTAGAAGTTGGTGGAACATAATTAATGTAAAAACTAAATTTAAAGGACAGGCAAAAAGGAATGATTTGGCTACCCCAATTTTTTCAGATAATGATTTCAAAGTAGTTTTTTTAAAAAAAATTTGTGATGTGGCTAGATTCTTGGCATCAAATTCCTGAAGGCTCTTCACTTACAAATGATACATACCTTGCTCTTAAAAACAGCACATCAATTTTGATCAAAGTAATAGAGTATTCATTTAATCATTTAAATATAGAATTTATATTACCTGGCAAATTCCAAACGGATAATTTAGAAGAAAGGTTTGGTCGTTATAGGTACCTATCTGGCTGTAATTATAACATTTCAGTTACTCAAGTGATTGATTCAGAAAAAAAAATTCGAATACAGAATATTCTGAAATCGTCTGTTACTAGTGATTTAACACAATTAAAATTTCAGCCACCTGATGATCTAAATTGTGCAACACTTAATCAGTTCATAGAATGTTCAGAATTTACTTCTATTTTTAATAGTGATTATCTGCGTACATACAATTGTGAGGAATCAAGTCAAATATATATTAGCGGATATGCAGTTCATACTGTACAAAAAACTCTTAAATGCCTTACCTGTAGAGATCTGATTGTACAAAGTATAGGTGATAAGGTAAATGATGAATATTTTGATTATCTGCAACGAGGTGGTTTATCTGTTGCAACAAATGAAGTTCATTATATTTATTATCACTCGTGTGCTCTTTTTGAATACATAATTAAACATCCAGAAACTATGTCACTGTTTTTGTCTCATAAAAATCAAAAATATTTATTGGCTTCTTTAGCCCTCACGAGTTTGGAAAGTGACAATTTTTATATTGATTTTTCTAAAATTTGTGTTTGTGGAACAGCTGTTAGAGAATTATATTTTAAAATTTCTGTGATTTTCTCCAATACTTTGTTAAATAACTTCACAAAAAACAAGAATAATGAAATTATGACAAAGAAACTAACTAAAAGTTTATCTAAAAAGCGCAAGCTTTCAACTTTAAAAAAATAAATACCTGGAATTTCAATAACATTTTTTTAAGCCACTCTTAATAAATATAATATTCGCTCAAGGGATACTAGAATTCAATAAACTGCAAGTTGTTTACAAAAATATTAAAAGAATATTTTCTTTTTTTTTAACGTAAATTATGTAAATAATGTAAGCTGAATGCACTTGTATTACTTTTAAATTCTATTAATATTACACCTCATTGTATTCAATGTTTTGCAGTTTTAATAGATGTGATATATATATATATATATATATATATATATATATATATATATATATATATATATATATATATATATATATATATATATATATGTACCTTATCAAACTATTTTGTTCGATTTTTTTACTTAATTTTAACTTTATAGCGAATATTATGATGTTCCTCTTTTATTTATTATTTTGATGGGCTCTTTATAGTCGGACTACTTCTAACAGCTGATGCGGCGTTGCCATTTTTAGTTCACGGCTTGTAAGCTTTAGGTGGCTGTGATATTGTAGGTTTGTCACTACACCTTTTTTAAAAACCATACAAATATTATTAATCCATATTTCTTTAATCTAATGCCAATTCTAATTTCAACGGTTTTTTTCAATGGTTGAAACAATTTATGTGTAAAATTTTATTTAGAAATTCTAAAAAGACCCTTTTTTTAAATAACTTTCATGAAAAAAAAGTAAAAACCACTAAGATTATGACTTTTTGGGGGATCTAAAAAACTCACTTTTTTATCGATGTTTTTTATAAACGTGTAAACAATGCTCTTGTAAATTTAAATAGATACTTTCATGAAAAAATCATTTTTTTCTTTTCATCTTACCTATGATTTGGAAAATGTCTCAATTTGAAATTCAGTTTCGGCAATTCTCTAATAGAGGCCACTGGTAGTATTAATAACTAACTCAGTAAACTTCAGTAAAATCATTGTTTTAAAATGATGGATAGCTTCCTAGGACCTAGAACTTAGGAAAGGGTTAAATCACAATTAATAATTGTAATTAAAACTAAATTTTCTTAAATTTTTTTTTGAAATTTCGATTTCTAATCCTGAAATCATTTTAAAACAAAAATGAAAATCTTTAACCTCCTATACCTATGCTCCTATATAAAAACTACACATTATTTTCGAGCTGGAAAATCTTATTGTGATCAATATTAAAGAGACAATGGATTTGAGAACAAGGAATTATTTGCCATCTTTTACGTTGACTTGTGGTTATGGTGCTTATCTTATGACACTGTTAAAACAACCAAATAATTAAAAAAAATTATAACAACCAAAGATTCTTAGTAAAAGCGCAGAATACCTACTCCATCCAACAAGAACCGAAAGCTTTGTCGGTACCTTTGATGTTCGTAGGACAGAAATTTCGCAGTGACAATGACAGTTAAACTACTTAGTACACTAAGAAAAGTAATGAGGAGCTGTAGTAAAATTATAGTTACACTGAGAAACGAAGTAATCACTAAAACTACTTAATGTTTTTTAAGTAGATCTGTTTTGTATGAATTGTATTTTTTTTAAAACTGTATTTAACTAAAATATAAATGTTCAGATAACTTTTGTAACGCGTTT